GATTGATTCTGATTTGATGTTGGACCTTGATTGCATGCGTGTGGGCTCCAGTCCCAATGAAAACTGCGATTCGGTGATTATTTTTGGCAATGCACTCATCCCGAGCGAAGCTCTCCCAACACCTGGTTGGGGGGAAGAAGAAGAAGCGAACTTTCCTAAAGATGACAGCAACAACTGTGCTGATAATAACAATAATAAGAATAATGTTGAAGATCCGTGGGAGGCTGGTTGGAAGAAGGGGGAAACAACAAAACAAAGTGGATGGGGTAATGGAGAGTGGGAAGGCGGTTGGAACAATAACTCCGGATATTGGGGTGGTAATATTGGCAGAGAAAGTGGATGGAGATCCGAATGGAATAACAATACAGGGGATTGTAACGGGAACTATGGCTATCCCAAACAAAAATGTAAAGATTCAGAAGGTAGAAGATGGGACGACGATGGAGGTTTTGGTAACGAGGGGGATACGAACTATAATCAAAATCATATCGAGCTGAAAGGGGGAAATGTTCATTACAACAGCTTTTCTGGGACAAAATGGGATGGTAGGAGGAGCCACAGGAGATACAAGGGAAAGCACATCAACTCAAAGTACCCTTAAGCATGGAGGAGGAAGGCGAAACCAGTTTTGTGAATATATAGAGTAAATATTCATCTTACAAGTTTTTCATCTGTATACCCAGATTTTGGTTCAACCATGCTATATATATATATATATATATATATATATATATATATATATATATATATATATATATATATATATATATATATATATATAGTTATTGCCAACATGTAATAGCATTTTTTGTTGTTTTTGTTTTGTTGGAATCGTATCCTCTTGAAATTTTGAATGTGGTTTGTATTAGAGGACTTGATAACTTCGTCATCAGTGCACGGAAAGTGTTCGCCACATTTTCACCTTAACACTATGTTTGGCTGAGTAGGAACTAGGAAGTAAATGCAGAGGAAAGAATTAGGTAGGAGGTTAACTTCCATTTGTTTGTGGTTGGAAGGAAGTAGATGGGAGAGATTTTTGGAGAAAGTAATTTGCCTTGTTTGATTGGAAGGCAAGGTAAGATAGAAAAAAGTGGTTATTGAATTAACATTAGAGTGCAATGATTCATGTGACATTGGATTTCAATGTTATAAGATGACATTGAGGTTTTTAGTGCTCTGTTTGATCTTAAGTGATTTGTACACCCTCTAATCTCTTTAAAAACCTCATATCTAGTTCGCCTCCTAACTACTCCTAATGGTAACCTTCATTTAAATCAAAATTTTGACCAAAATATCAATTATATTTTGAGGTGCAAGTGGTAGGGCAAAAATTGTTTTTGGGTAGAATGGAACACAGTAAAACCCCCTAAATACCTAATGGATTGATGTCATCCTATAGAATTGGATTTGAATATAAGTAGAATCTACTTAAGTTTAATTACACCTTAAAAGGTACAAAAGACATATATAAAAAAAATTATAAGTTATTCTGTTAAGTCATTTAAGAACATATCATTTTTTTGATATAATAAATTTATTAGAACAAATAATATTAAATACATAATACTCCATCCGTCCCCCATAGATCTTTCCAATAGCCCTTTTTCTTTGTCCACAATAGATCTTCTTATTTCATTTTTTAACAATTAAAATACCACAACTACCCACACTTACTTTATTTATTACATTTCACCCACCTCATTTAATACATTCCACCCATTTTCATTAAGGGTATTATGGTAAGCTTCACCTTTTTTCAACTCTCCTTAAAAACTACCAAAAGTCAAAATGAGAACATCTTAGGGGGGCGGAGGGAGTAAGTAAATACTACCTCCGTCCCAGTGTATTTGTTCAGTTTGACTTTTTCGAGTCAAACTGGATAAACTTTGAACTCCAATTACTCTCAATTTATATTGCATATTAGCATAATGATATACATTTTTGAAAGTTCTCAATACGATAAATCCAATAAAGTCATTTTTATGTTAAAATACATTACTGTTTTTATTTAATTGAAGCTCAAAGTTTGTCCAGTTTGACTCGAAAAAATCAAACTGGACAAATACACTGGGACGGAGGGAGTATCATTTAAATTATTTAAATATTTTTAAATTACTATTAAGTTCATCAACATGTTAACTATTTTGTAATTTGCTAAGTACATGTGAGCAAATCATAGTTCTTATCCTGAAAAAAGAGTGACAAATTTTTATCCAAAAAATAAGATTAGTATATTGTGACAATGTGACACTGTATACCGGTATTTTATAGTCTTGTATTATATCTCACATTATACGCCTTATTTTAGGTATGAAATATAAAGATTCTATTTCAGTTCTTTTCATAAATTTTTATTCCTATTTTAGTATTTGTTTTTTTGCATAAACAGGATCCCATAGAATCCCACAAAAGTATGGTCTGGAAGGGTGTGTACATCTTGTACTTACTAAAAGCATAGAGATTGTTTTCAAGAGTCCTCAAATAGCTCAAAAAAATCTAAAAGCAAACTAGTTGCAGGAAAAAGGCTATATTATAATGCAATAGGCACACAATGTAAGAAAAAAAACTCCAAGCGTGCAAAGCACACAACAATATGTAAAAAGCTACCACCCCATTCAGAATGACTAACCAACAATCTTAATCCTAGATCTCCAAACATTCTTAATAAAGTCATATCTTTAGTAAGAGCTTAAAATTCTAAGTTCAGTCTAATAATCTCCTTTCAATTCTTTTAAACTAGGTCTACCCCTTCTCGTAGACCCACCTACTATCTTAATCCTCTCGCATATCAGCATAGGAGCCTCAGTTGCTTGTCGTTTCATGTGACCAAACCATCTGAATCTAGCCTCTCACAGCTTAATTTCCATAGGTGCCACTCCCACACTTCTCTTCAGCCTTGTCTACTCACACATCCACTACAACATATGCATCTCAGTCGCATGCAGTTGAAGGAAATGGACTTTCTTAACCGCCCAACACTCCACACCATAAAACATAGCTAGTCTGACTACTGATCGCAATGGCGGATCCACAAGTTCAGTTAGATGGGGGCACCATTGGTCGGGTGTCCAGAGTAGCGTTTTTGAATTTTTTATAGGCTATTTGAAATGAAAAAAATAAATAAATGATGAATTTTGCTTCAAACATTTATCAAATGTAAACCATTTTTAGGCAATGTGAAATTTTATTTTATACACAAATAATTATATGTAATAAAATACACTTTCCTAAAAAATTAAACAAAAAAAAATAAATTTGACATGATTAGATGGGGGCACATTAATTTTTGTTGGGGACATCTATACATAAATTTTTAATGTATTATTCTTTTTTACCTTATTACAAATGATTAGTTGGGGGCATTTGACCCCTACTCCCTAAAGGTGGATCCGCCCCTAACTAATCGATAGAACCTTCCTTTCAATTTCTTTGTTTGGAGAAATCAGAGAGACAAAAGTGTCCAACTATGTACTAACACTACAACTCTAACTTGTCAACGAGAAGAGACTAAGGGCCGACCTGTAGTGTAGTAACCCCAACTCTATGGGGAGTGGATTAGAGTCACTCCTGATAGTCTTCACCTTAGTCATCGCCCCAACTTACATATCTTTGACTATGCAAATGTATGAAATTGAAACAGCTCAAAACTCAAAATATCTCCACAAGATATCCTTCAGGATACTATCATCATATATCTCTCTCTTCCTCTTTTGTCTTTTTTCTTTTTTTAAATTTCCACTCCACATGTATTTCTTATCTTCACATCACCATTTTCTTTCTTTCACACTTCATTTTCTTTCATTTCTCTTTTAAATTCTTTTATTTATTTTAGTTTCCTTTTTAGTTTATTTTATTCTCCTTTTCACTCCAAAAATAAAATAAACTCTAACATAATTAATACTAGTGTTAACCCCGTATAGATTCTGAATTGTTGACATGCTCTTAATGTAATTTTCTTTATTTTATTTTTCTAATAATTATATAGTACTCTGTATGTGTTATATAAATTGTTTATATAAAGATGTATATATTTAAAATTTGTATAATAATGTTTTTGAGAAATACTAAAATAAAATTTGATGGTGTAAATTACTTGACCGGTCAAACAATACTAGACCGGGTCTAGAATAGTTTGCTTGATTTGGCAATGTAAGAAAGGTAAAAGCACGCAGAGTGACCAGTAGGACTTTAGTTGGAACACCTGTAGCCCAATTTATATTATAACGGAAAATGCACGGGTGCCTTTACAAGGGAGTTTAGAGAGAATGAATTCGGATCCCTACTTCTGAGAGTTAGAGCAGTATTTATACTAGGCTAAGGGGGGCAGGGCCACGTGCACCCACGTGGAGGCACGTTCTCGGAGGGTGAGAAGTGATGGCCTTCGTCCTCTTGCTGCCTTGTCGCCTTGCGAGGGAGATTGTGCCCTTGTCGCGTACTGGCTTGGACATATTCCTTCAGCATCTCCAGCGGTCCTCCACTGACATGGGTCGCTACTGTCCAAACCCTTTTAGATTCCCTTCTGCCGACGCTTCCTAACCTCAGAAACTACACCGGGTAACTTTTGAGGGATGAGTTTATCGAAATTAGTGAATGAACAGAGCGACAAAGTAGTTTGACCGGTATACTTTTTCTGAAGTATACTGGTCACCTTTCGATCAACTGAATGTCCTCTTGCTGATGATATTCAAGTTTAACCTCTTTGACCGGTCAACTATCTGGTTTTGTCGTTTGACCGGTCATGGGTGAAATACACCCATCAATAAGCCCTCCACTTCTCGGTCATGCAATTCGTCATGAGCGGGAAGTAAAAAATCTGAAACGGGACCTCAAATTCGAATTTTATGCTTTTCCCGCCTGAAAATTTCAAAATTTGAATTTGAACTCTGAACTTTGACACGTGTTGGACATCTGTCGTTGCAACGGTCGGCCGCCCACCCGTCGTTTCGCCTGCTAGTGTACCATCATTGCGCCGCCTGACGTGGCGCAACCTCGAGAAGCCACGTCACCCATTTTGGCTTCCTCCTCTCTATATAAAGAGTTCCACCCCTCTCCACTTCTCACTTTTCGCAACCTGAGTCTCCAAAGCTTTCACCGGTCGAGTTCTCTTCTTCGCCTTCCAGCCCTCCGAGTCAAGTAAGCCCCCTCCTTTTCTTTGATTACTTTCCCGGCCATGTCTTCTTTTAGCGATAGGATTTCGTCCTCAGAGGACTGTTCCTCTGAGGGCTCCAACTCATCTTCTTCGACCGGGTCTTCTTCTCCTAACTCCATGCCCGGTCAGACTCCCAACCCTTCTGTCCCCGACCCGCAACCTGTTAATCAAATGCCCGGTGAGTTTTTATGGGGAGGGATGAGCCGGTTGATGACGAACCGGGTCCCTATGACCCTGAAAACGAAACCCAGGATGCGTGGGAAGAGCGGCTTCATGCCGCCGGTTACTTTCCGCTCCCCACCTTCTACGTCCTTGACATTCCTTCCCATGTATCCAAAATCGCTTTGAATAAAATCCGTAGGAGGCTCCCGGATGGGTATACCCTTTTGTATGAACATGACTGACCCAACATTGTTGAACCCCACCGGGAGGATAGGATAGGGTTCCACACCATATCTTTGGACGCGAGCATCGATTTTCCCCATCGCCCCCTCCTTACTAAAGTCTGCCATGCGTTTAGGATTTTGCCTGGCCAAATAACTCCTAACGCTCATCGGTATCTTCATTCCTTTGTAAATATCTGCTCTCATCTGAAAATCAATCCCTCCTTGCGTCTTTTCCTTTTTTGCTTTGAAGTCCTACCGGGTGGGACTGGCTGCGAAGGTTTTGTATTCTTCAAAGCCCGTACCGGTAGGAAGTTCATTTCCGATGTCCCCCAAAGTAACCGGGGATGGAAGGAAAAATTTGTCTTTATTGAGTTTCCACCCTTCGTCACTCCATTGGCCGGTCTGAGGTGGAATGACCACCTCCTCAACCAAGAGTCCGCTGCACCGGCTTCCACCCCTGACTTGGAAGCCAATCTTGAGATTCTCATGCGTGGCGATCCTTTCACCGGGAGGATCTTCCACTATGGCAGCTGGGTATGGAGGGTTGAGTCGGGTGGTGAGGGTACCTCCCAGGCCCATGAAGCAGCGGGGCGCGGGGTACCCTCCCCGGGAAACACTGCAGAGGCTGAGGGCAAGAACCGCCCAGGTATTTTTATTCTTCTTGTGATTTGTGCTTTGACCGGTACCATTGCTTGTACTTAACGATTTTTGCTAATATTTGCAGACATGGAGTTCGAAGAATTCGCCATGCCCGAAGATCAGCCAGAAGGAGAGACCAGTGGTTCTCAGACCGGTGTTGCAAAAACTTTCACGGTCCAACAAGAGACCGTGGAAGTCCATGATTTGGACGAGCCGGAGGAGGACCGGTCAAAAGGGAAGGACAAAGAGAAGGCTGGCCGGCGAATGAAGAAGGTGGATACCACGCACCCTTGTTTTACTAAGAAGAGGGAAAGGTCGGATTCTGAGCCGGCTTCTATTGAAGGTGGCTACCACGCACCCTTCTTCTATACCGGTCTTAATCTTCTTTTTCCCTTGATGAGAATCTAACCGGGTCATCTTTTTGTGCAGGCGGGGGAGATTGGGCCGCATACAGTGGACCGGTTGGGGATGAGTTCCCCTTCTGAAGTTGACCGACTGAAGAAGGAAAAAGAAGAGATGTCCCTAATTTTGAAGAGCCAGGCAGATGAGTTGATCCGTCTGTCTGGTATGGCCGGGACAATGAAGGTGAAGATCTCCCAGCTGAAGGAGGAGAATAGCCGGCTAATGGACGAGGTATCTGAAGCCATGAGGGAAATAGCGGAGAAGGAAGAAACCTTCCCCGGGCGCGCAGTCGCCTGGGTTGAAGAGAACAAAGACGCTGTTGCCCGGGTGATGTTGGCAACGCCGGAAGCCACGATGGAGTCCTTCAGGCTTCTGTACCGGGAGCCTGAAGGGAAGAAGATGATTACCACCATTGGATCTTTCGGATTCAAGTGCGGTCAAAAGAAAGACCGGGCTGCTTCTCACCGGGTCCTGAAGAAAAGGGACCTGGACTTCACTGCGGCTTCATACGGCCTGGCTCCCATCCCAGAGGAAGAGCCAACTCCCCCTTTTCCCCTCTACTGATCTCCCCGGCTGCGCCCGGTTGAATTATTTTGTAAAACTTCGAACTCATTTCCCCGGGGATGCCCGGTGTATCTGTAAACATTTAACATTCTTATTCCGTTTGAATGCCATGTTTAATTTCCATACCGGTTGATCTTGCTTCTTGATTGATTCTTTTGCTTTGCCTCTATTTTGCTATCTTACTTTAACCAGTACGCATTGCACCTGATAAATATCTGCGAGTAAAACCCCAACTTTCACTTTTGAATGTCTTCCCCTTGATGGTCAACTTGGAAAAGGTTTGACCGGTGTAAATTCGACTTTCCATTTTGGGTACCTTCCATTTGGCAGTACAAATTTTTTCGATAAAGTACAGTTTAACTGGTAGGAACGCACTTCATGGTATGACCGGTCAACCACTTTCTCTTGAGGAACTTTCGAAGTTCTATTGTACCCATACCCGACCGGGGTATTCCTTTTTCTTTGACCGGTAGGTTGTAGATGGGAGCACCTGTAACCTAGTGAATTCTTGAAGTATCCTTAACCGGTAAGAATATTGGAGATTTAACCATGTCGAATGGTTTTGAACCCTCTCCAAGGTTCAAATGCACTCTTCTTCCAGGGCCCCCTCTTCCGGGTGATTAAGTCTTTTAATGGCCCTTTGATTTCTACCATCCCAGGAAGGCCTTAGCTCACCCCCCGTTCAAGTCTTCCCTGAGAAGGGGGAAATAGGATGCGCCACGGTGGACGATCCCTTTCTATTTCTTTTAATGGGCATCTTTTAGTCCCCAATCAATTTGATGGTACCGGCTGATTCCCCGATACCGGTCAAACCTCATGGGCCCGTGTAAGTACGGTTCGAACCTTCTTCCAGGTCCAGCCCTCTTGCAGGAATACCCCTCTTCCGGGGCCCCTCTTCCGGGTTTTATCATTTTTTCTATTATACCGAGCAAGACCGGTGTAGTAACCAGCGTGCCAGGTCCGGGCCTGTGTCTCAGTTGGCTTTTCCAAGTGGATTCGATCTACCGGGAAGCCCTCCTAGGATAGGTTCGACCTTTCATTTCTGCCGCTGCCATGTAGAGTATTGGACTTCCTCAATTTGATTGATAATAGAAGTAGGCCTTGCCTAGTATTACAATCACTTGTAGAACTTGCGAAGATGATGGGAATTCCATGTTCTTTCTACCGGTACACCATCTAAAGTTTCTAACCGGTAGGTTCCTGGGCGAATGATGGCTCTAACCCTGTATGGGCCTTCCCAGTTTTTTGCCAACTTTCCTCCATCGCCCGGTCTACTTGCTTCCCTTCTTCGCAAGACTTCATCGCCGACTTGAAAGTATCGTGGTCCAACCTTGTTGTCGTGGTACTTCTTCACGACTTGTTGATATGTGCTCATTTTATCTTCCGCGGCCATTCTTCGTTCTTCGACCAAGTTGAGCTCGGCTAGGTGGTCTTCTTCGTTCTGCTGGGGTTGATAATTTGACTCCCAAAACGTCGGGAATTCAGCTTCGATGGGTAATCTTGCTTCACAGCCATAAGTTAGGGAAAACGGAGTTTCCCCATGAGCCCTCCTGGGTGTTACCCGGAACGCCCATATAATGTGCGGAAGCTCTTCTAGCCATTTGTTTCCTGCTTCTCCCAGCCGCTTTTTCAAACCGTCCACAATCGTTCGGTTGGCGTTTTCCACTTGACCATTTCCTTGGGGGTAGGCTACCGAAGATCGATTGTGCTTGATTCCGAAGCCCTCCAAGTATTTGGTGAATCTTGGATTTCGGAATTGTGGGCCGTTGTTGGTGATGAGATTCATGGGCGCTCCAAACCTCGTGATGATGTTCTTCCAAATGAATTTCTTGCATTGTTGTGTGGTGATATTGGCTAATGCTTCGGCCTCAATCCACTTGGTGAAGTAATCGATGGCCACGATTACGAACTTCTTCCCTCTTTGGGCGATTAGGAATGCTCCAATGATATCAACCCCAAACCTAGCGAATGGGATGACATTCAATACGGGGTGATAGTAGGTCGCTGGTTGACTGGGGTATTTGTAGAACACTTGGCACGTTCTGCATTTCTGAACATACCTCTCACAGTCGTGGACAATTGTTCGCTAGTAATACCCCAACAAAATGATTCGCTGTGAGAGGGTCCTCGACATTTGATGCGCCGCGCATACACCTTCATGGACTTCGGCTATAACTCGCTCCGCCTCTCGGTTGGCCAGGCACCTCAGGAGGGGCCCCCCAAACGCCCTCTTGTATAGTTTCCCATCCAAGACTTGGAACCGGGGTGCCCTGAGCTTTACTTTTCTTGCACGGTCTTCTTGTTCTGGCAAGCTCCCATCCATCAAGTGTTCCATGAGATCGTACATCCAATGGTCGTCCGCCCCGACCAGGTTTGACCAGTCAGATTGGCCTGTTGCTGTTATTGTAGGGACTTCCAATTTTTCGATGCTGGCACGATCAAGAATTTATACCCGGGCAAGTTTTGAAACATGCTCGGGGGAATACTGTGTCAGTTTGGAGAGAAGGTCTGCATCCGCGTTTTCTGCCCGGGGAATCTGGGCGATCCTGAATTCCTCGAAGTCTTTCAACAGGGCAAGCACCAGGTCCTTGTATTGTGCCATTCGTCCTTCTCTTGCTTCCATGTTACCGGTCACTTGCCCAACAATTAGGCTAGAGTCAGATTTGATACTGACCCGGCTGATTTTCAGGGCTTGGGCAAGTCTGAGCCCTCCAGCCAGAGCTTCATATTGTGCCTCATTGTTCATCAACTTGAAGTTGAACACGATTGCATGGTAGATCTTGAACCCTTCTGGGTGGTAAACACGATACCACCCCTGTATCCTCTAGGACAGGATGCCCCATCAACTGCCATCTCCCACCATTGCTCAGTGGGCTTGTTGACCGGCAGGTCTGGAGTTCGACCGGTCATTTCTACCAGGAAGTCTACAAGGGCTTGTCCCTTGATTGCTGACCTTGGCCGGTACTCAATGTTGAATTGAGTTAACATCATTGCCCACTTCACTATCCTAAAGGAGGATGTTGAATTTTGCAACATTGCACCCAGCGGTTGGTCAGTCAAGACTTCCACCGGGTGAGCTTGGAAGTAGGATGTTAATTTTTTTGCTGAGATGAAAAGCACATAGGCAGTCTTCTCCATCGCCGTATATCTACTTTCAGCTCCGTTTAGTGCTTTGCTCACATAATAAATGGGCTTTTGTGCCCCATCATCTCTTATTAAAACGGAGCTTACAACATTTGGGGAAATTCTAGGTACAGATACAGAGTTTCACCTGGTTCGGGTTTAGACAATACAATATCTAACACTAGGTACTCTTTCAGCTCCTCAAATGCCCTCTGGCAGTCTTCATCCCACGCGAATGTGTTGGCCCTCTTCAGGACTTTGAAGAAAGGCAGGGATCTCTCAGCTGACCGGGACAGAAAACGGCTGAGTGCCGCTAGACGATCGGTCAAATTTTGCACATCCCTAACCGAGGTAGGGGCCTGCATCTCGGTGATAGCCCGAATTTTTTCTGGGTTGGGCTCTATTCCTCTCTTGGTCACCATGAATCCTAAAAACTTCCTGGTTCGAACCGCGAAGACACATTTCTTAGGATTCAACTGGAGGTTGTACCTTGCCATGATTTCGAATGTGGCACGCATATCAGCCGGGTGGTTGAGAGATACCTGGCTTTTGATCAACATGTCGTCGATGTATGCTTCCATGGTCTTTCCCAGTAGTGGCTTGAAAAGTTTGCTCACCATGCGTTGGTAAGTTGCTCCTGAATTCTTCAAGCCAAATGCCATTAACCGGTAACAGTAGGTTCCTTTGGGCGTGAGAAATGACGTCTTCTCTTCATCTTCCTGGCCATGTAGATTTGGTGGTAACCCTTGAAGGCATCCATGAAACTTAGGAGTTCGTACCCCGCAGTTTCGTCCACCATTTGATCTGGACTGGGAAGGGGGTATAAATCCATCGGACAAGCCTTGTTCAAGTCCGTATAATTCACACACATTCTCCACGTGTCGCCCTTGGGAGCAAGGACAACGTTGGCCAGCCAATCTGGGTATTTGACTTCCCGGATGTGACCGACACTAAAGAGGTCCTTCACTTCCTTCTTGACGAAGTCTCGCCGGTCACTGGCCAGGTACCGCTTCTTCTGATGTACCGGTCGACATCCCTCTCTCACGGCCAACCGGTGGCAGATAACAGAGCGATCTATTCCGGGCATATCCGCCACGCTCCATGCGAATATGCCTGCGTATTCTTGGAGGACCTGTGTAATCTCTGCCTTGAGATCTTCTGGGAGATTTGCTCCAATTCTTACCATCCTCGAAGAATCACCCGGGTGAAGTTTGATTTCCAATGTCTCGGCCTCGGGCTCCAATTTCTCCCGGGTCCCTATCTTTGTGATCTCTTGGGAGATGACATTGACCCCCCTTGGTCATCTTCTTGACTTCCCGGGCATAGCACTCCCGGGCGTTCCTCTGGTCGCCTTTTACCTCACCCACACCACCTGGTGTGTGGAACTTCATGCACAGGTGAGACATGGAAATCACCACCCCGACCTTATTGATGCCCGGTCTTCCAAGGATTGCGTTGTGGACGCATTTGATGTCCACAACTATTAACCGCATCTTCTTCCACACGGTTTTTTCACCCGATCCTAGTTCGATCGGTAGAACTATGGATCCTTCAGCTTCCACTGTATCTCCCGTGAAGCCTGATAGAGGGGTTTTGAGGGGTTCAAGTTGTGTCCGACACAACCTGAGTTTTTGGAAAGTTTCCAGGTACAAGATGTTGACACTGCTGTCGGTGTCAACAAGTACCCGGGCAACATCCACCCCATTAATGTCCATGGTAATAACCAAAGGATCATTATGATCTTCACCGGTAGGGGGGAGGTCCCGGTCAGTAAAGACGATCGGTTCCCTCCTGGTATGCTTACGCCTGGCCGGTTCAACACTTACTTCACCAACGTAAATGTTGCGGACCCAATTCTTCCGTTGCGCGGCTGGATCTGCACCTTCAGGTCCGCCGAAGAACATCCCAATATGTTTTTTTTCAAGAGCAGGTTGCTGCTCCCTTTGCCGGTTATTCCTCCGTCGGTCAGTATCCCGGTCATTTCCCTGGGTCGCTGGTTTAACCCATTGGTGGCTCTTCTCCTGGGCTTTCTGCAAATAATCCTTGCCCAGCTCTCCGCTGTCTATCATTTGCCGGATGACTCTCTTAACACTCTTGCATTCAGAAGTGTTATGGGAATCTGACCTATGGTATGAACAATAGGTGCCCGACCATTGTCTTCCTGTTTGACCGGTAGGGTTTTCCGGAGGAATTACCAGTGCTTTCCGGATTTCTTGGCATTCTTCCGTATTGACCATACGGACGACCGGGTCATAGTGATGCCTTGGCCGACTAGGACCCGGTGCTTCTTCCTTCTTGACTTGCACCGGCCTGGGCTTGAAGCCATGCTCAGCTTCTTTCTTTGCCCGGAGTTGGGTTTTGGCCTCAGCAAACTCCCACGCAGTGTGATAGGCCTCTTGGTACGTGGCCGGGGGTTTCCGGCAGAACTCCTTGTATAGTTCCCCGGCACGTAAGCCATTCAAGAGAAGGGATAAGACGATCTTGTCATCCATCTCTTCCACCTTGTCTACCTCTTCCTTCCACCGGGTAAGGAACTGAGTAAGGTTCTCAGACTCCCTCTGCCTGGTTGTACTAAGATAGGTGAATTTCTTCCTCTTAGTACAGTTCTCCTGGAACTTGGCCTTGAATTTTGAGGCCAAGTCACTGAATGAATCAATACTTCCTGGGTGAAGTTTGTTGAACCATTCAGTAGCTCGATTCTGCAGGGTTTGGAAGAAAAGCAGACACTTTTCTTCGTTTGTGCAGCCGTTCATGGTTGCACTTTGGTTGAAGGAGTCCAGATGGATTTCCGGATCTTCCTTCCCGGTGCATCTAGGGGCGTCGATCTTGACCTTTCGCGGGAAAGGTGTTAGATGGACCCTTGTGGTGAACGGGGACCCAGTCAGGGGTTTGTCCCGGTCATTCTTTTCCCTGACCTTGTTCTCCAGCCTTTCCAGTTTTGCCTCCATCTGCTGGATGCGGTCATTTGGGATGGTTAACCAGTTCGCCACCGGTAACCTGGGCTAGCTCTCTGCTTCCTCTTCCTGACAAGAGGCCCTCGTCCTCGCTGGCTCCTGCCAGTTAGACCGGGAGCGCTGGGTGCGGGCAGGCTCGGCCTCCCTCACCTCGCCTAACCGGGCGAATGCGCTGACATGGGCAGCACTTTGCCCCAGCCTCAGCTTGGCTGATTTCCTCTGGCCCTCTTCCCTGTCCCCCTGCCTTTCGAAGGCGGAGTTTCGGGAAGTGGCTGGCCGGACGGCTTTCCCCTTCTTCTTCTTGTGGGCCCTCAGAATGTCCCACTCCTCGTCTCCGCTCTCAACTGAGATGCAGTGACCATCAGGGGTAATCTTTGGATTCGTACCTTGTGGGGGACGCGACGGCCCTGCAGCGTTAAGCGCGCCAGTCAGGTTGACAGGGGCTACGGTGCTGACCAGCTGTGGTTGGAAAGGTGATGGCTGCGGCACCGGCGTCTGGAAGGGAGACACCGCCATTGGAGCTTGTAGGGGCATGGCTCCCGTGCCTGGAAGAGCGAACGAGAACATACTAGGGAGAAAAGGCATCCCCCCATTCAGCTGGCACATGACCATGACTTGGCCAAAGCCCTGGATGGCCTGCAGGTTGGCCGGATCGTTCATGAACTGAGTCATGCTTGGTGGGAATGTGACCCTTGGTCCAGCAGAAGGGACATGGGTCGCGAATGGGCTGACCATGCTGGGTGTTGGGACCGAACTTAGACCCAACGGCAAAACCGGAGTAGAAATGGCCGGTAGGGTAGCGACCATGGGGATGGTGGCTCCCTCAGTAGTGGTTTGCACCTGAGCGGAGGTAGCGTTGATTTGTTGGCTTGAAGACATTTTGAGTGGTGTCTTTGTGGGTAGGTTTGTGTTTAGATGAAGAGAAACCTTAACGGTCCCACGGATGGCACCAAAAATGATGGTGTAAATTACTTGACCGGTTAAACTATACTAGACCAGGTCTAGAATAGTTTGTTTGATTTGGCAAAGTAAGAAAGGTAAAAGCATGCAGAGTGACCGGTAGGACTTTAGGTGGAACACCTGTAGCCCAATTTATATTATAACGGAGAATGCACGGGTGCCTTTACAAGGGAGTTTAGAGAGAATGAATTCGGATCCCTACTTCTGAGAGTTAGAGCAGTATTTATACTAGGCTAAGGGGGGCAGGGCCACGTGCACCCACGTGGAGGCACGTTCTCGGAGGGTGAGAAGTGATGGCCTTCGTCCTCTTGCTGCCTTGTCGCCTTGCGAGGGAGATTGTGCCCTTGTCGCGTACTGGCTTGGACATATTCCTTCAGCATCTCCAGCGGTCCTCCACTGACATGGGTCGCTACTGTCCAAACCCTTTTAGATTCCCTTCTGCCGACGCTTCCTAACCTCAGAAACTACACCGGGTAACTTTTGAGGGATGAGTTTATCGAAATTAGTGAATGAACAGAGCGACAAAGTAGTTTGACCGGTATACTTTTTCTGAAGTATACCGGTCACCTTTCGATCAACCGAATGTCCTCCTGCTGATGATATTCAAGTTTAACCTCTTTGACCGGTCAACTATCTGGTTCTGTCGTTTGACCGGTCATGGGTGAAATACACCCATCAAAATTAATGATGGATACTTTTAAAAATTATATACAATGTTGTTTTTATAATTATATTACTCACTCTGTCCCAATTTAAATTCTCTTTTTTGGTTTACGATTTTTGACTTAAGTTATTTCCAATGCAATTTATTAGAGAATTGAAGCAAGATTAAAAACATAACTTTACATACTAAAACTACATCAAAAACTCTACAAAACAATAGGTGACATGACCATATTATTTTATCAAAAATATGTTATAAAAATTTGAAGCTTTTATTAATCTTTAATATTAATAATGATTATTTTGTGTTAGAAAGTGAATGATTTTATAAAGAATTTGATAAAATTAATTCCTATTTAATGGTTAACACGTACTCTGTGTTATTGGCATATGTGTTTAGACATTATCGATAATGAATTTTTTAAATCTATTAGAATTGCACAAATGATTGTTTACAAATAAATTAAACTTTAATTGTAATGAATTTTCATACTCCATAAAAAAGTTATTTTTAAAAAAATAAAGTTAAATATATAAAAAAAATTGCAAGATAAAAGATATCATAATATAAAAAATATAGTATATTATTACATGAGATGACATATGGCAACACATGACATGTAAAAACACATGGAATGATATTTGGTAGAAGAAAGCTTATGTGGCTACACATGGTGTTACACATGGTAAAAAGTCCTACATGGCATGACACATGACGCAACCACAATTAATCCGCTCCACTTCATATATATACATATGATTTGGTAAATATGGAGATATCCCAACAAATTTCTCCCTCGACCCAATTTACCAAATATGTCAACCAACATAATCAATATTTGATGATTGGGGAGATATCTCAACAATAGTTAGGGTGTTAAATCAAGGTGCAATCTTAGTCTGGTTCTTAGTAAGGTCGCATCATGCCTGGTGCGAACGAGAATGTATTACATTGGATAAAACTCTCACATTGACGTTGCTANGGCTTGACATCTTCTCTTAGGACCATCTATGCGGGCGCATGATCGTCTTTAACAATCAGGAACCTGATTGAAATACTAATTTATTAGGCCTTCCTTCCCTATTATGAAAAAAGCTTTATTTGGAGAACCTGAACCTTGCACCACACCGGTCATATGGGCGGGCAGTGAATAATACGGAGTAGTTATTAGAACCCATTGCATTCCATTCTCGTATGTAGAATGTCTTTTATGTTTAACCTGGAGGTTTGGTTCTATGGCTTTTAATTTCGGTAGGCCGGTTTCCCCCTTCCCCTACATATTTTCTAGATTGGTCTCAACTTCTTTGCTAGTCATCATGATATGTCCTTGATTTTTTCCCCTCATAAAACTTCATTTGCTTCTCTCGTAGACTCGCTTAAAATCTTCCATTGTTTGCAATGATGATTCTATTAGAGTAATTAGTTTGTCTCTTACATTATGGAGTTATGCCCTTCATCTATTATAACAATTGATGATTCTTCTTTAAGATTATATATTCAATTAGAGTTGTACCACTTGTACGAGGTTAAGATTTCACTACTTTATGTTGAGGACTTGGATATTTAATTTATGCCACTAATCATCCTTCTATGAACATGTTCCTCTTCATGCAACAAGTGGCAATTCACCCATGCATACATGCATATAGAGCCCATATTACACAGGGTCATGCTAGGGTTGCCACTCATGGGTGCTATCATGGATGTCGTCATGTTTTGCACAAAAAAAAATCATCTGTGCAAAGCATGGAGGCACCCATGTGATGGCATCCTAGTTTTATTCTATTGCGTAATGTACTAAATACAAGTCGTGTAAGCTTTCAACTCGCGAAACCAAGAATGAATGTTCGTAATGACAAAAATTAAGTTTGTACATTAAGTTTGTTTTCACAATATTTCTTTAACTCAACATCATCAAAAAATAGTATTGTTTTTGGGTAATTAATGCAGTGTTGTGAAACTGTATTCCTTGTGAAACTGTTTAACTCAACCCCCGTAGTCTACTACAACCATAGTCTACAAATGTGGTCTTTCGTCGCAATCCTAGCCCACAATCATAGTCATTATTTCTGTGTTATCCGCTTAACCAATATCAGAACACGTCACTAGACATAATGTTGATGTCAAATTATACACTACAAAAAAGGACCATTTGTGGAAAGGCGCCCTTAAAAAAAGGACTACGGGGGTAATATTTGATAATAGAGGACTAAATATGGAAACCCCCATGTTATAAAGGACCAATTATGGAATTTACTCTTTTATTTATTTTATTTTTTGTCTCTCAATTTAAATCACATATTTTTTTTTACGATGTTCAACTAAAAAAAATTTTCAGTTGAGTTTATTTAAAAGTTGGTATGGAATAATTAACAATTAAAATTTATATATTTAAAAAATAATAAAAATTTTACAAAATAAGAGGTGACAAAACTATATTATTTTTTCAAATGTGTTACGAAAACAGGTAAAAAATATGATCAGTATAATAGAAAAAATATTAAAACCCAGAAGAGGGGCCCCGGAAGAGGGTATGCCTGCAAGAGGGCTAGACCTGGAAGAAGGTTCGAACCGTATTTACACGGGCCCATGAGGTTTGACCGGTATCGGGGAATCAGCCGGTACCGTCAAATTGATTGGTGACTAAAAGATACCCATTAAAAGAAATAGAAGGGGATCGTCCACCGTGGCGCATCATGTTTCCCCCTTCTCAGGGAAGACTTGAACGGGAGGAGGGGGGGTGAGCTAAGGCTTTCCCGGGATAGTAGAAATTAAAGGGCCATTAAAAGACTTAATCACCCGGAAGAGGGGGACCTGGAAGAAGGGTGCATTTGGAACTTGGAGAGGGTTCGAAACCATTCGACATGGTTAAATCTCCAGTATTCTTACCTGTTAAGGATACTTCAAGAATTACTAGATTACAGGTGTTTGCATCTACAACCTACCGGTCAAAAAAAAAAGAATACCCCGGTCGAGTATGGGCGCAACAGAACTTCGAAAGTTCTACAAGGCAAGGCAGTTGACCGGTCAGACCATGGAGTGGAACCTACCGGTCAAACTGTACTCTATCGAAGAATTCGTGAAGCTATCTAAAAAGCCGAAGTAAAGTTCAGCTGGTTCACTCTAGTTCAACCGGGTTGGACTTAGCGTATTCAAAAACAAGCCAAGAAAGCGAAAATTGAAGTTTGACCGGTCCAAGTTACTCAGGCTGATCCTGGAGATAAAGTGATCAGAGAGAACTTTGAAGTTCTCCCGGTCGGAAACAATTGAGAAGTTGTCTGATTTATTTACCGGTCAGAATTTATAAGAAGCAAGAGCAAAGTATAAATCAACAAGCAAGCAGATATGGAAGATTAACCGGTAAGGAAATTAAACATGGCATTCAAACGGAACAAGCATGTTAAATGTTTACACATACACCGGGCATACCTGGGGAAATCGATAAGGTTTCAAGTTTTACAAAAATAACCGGTCCGAACCGGGGAGATCCTAATCTAGGGGGAAGGGGGGAGTTGGCTCTTCCTCTGGGATAGGAGCCAGGCCGTAAGAAGCCGCAGTGAAGGCCAGGTCTCTCTTCAGGAGGATCCGGTGGGAGGCTGCTCGGTCTCTCTTCTGGCCGCTTTTGAATCCGAAGGACCCAATCGCGGTTATCATCTTCTTTCCTTCAGGCTCCCGGTACAGAAGCTTGAAGGATTCCATGGTCGCTTCTGGTTTCACCGTCATCACCCGGGCAGCTTCGGCGTTATTTTCCTCAACCCAGGCAGCTGCGCACCCGGGGAACTTTTCTTCCTTCTCCGCCATCTCCCTTTTGGTTTCAGAGACTTCATCCATGAGCCGGCCATTCTCCTCCTTCAGCTGGGAGATCTCGGTCTTCATTGCCCCGGCCAGCCCAGACAGCGTGATCAACTCATCAGCCTGGCTCTTCAGGATGAGGGCCATCTCTTCTTTCTCCTTCTTCAGCCGGTCGACTTCGGAAGGGGAACTCATCCCCAACCGGTCCAATGTATGCAGCCCAATCTCCCCCGCCTGTACAAGAAAGAAATAGCCCGGTAAGTTTCTCGACAAAGGAAAAAGAAGATCAAGACCGGGATAGCAGCAGGACTTACCTCCTTCAACCTCAGCCCCAGATTGATGAAGGTCTCTTCGATGGTTTGGCCGGCCAGCTCAGGATCCGACCTTGCCCTCTTCTTGGCGTAAGAAGGGTGCGTGGTGGCCACCTTCTTCGTCCGTCGACCGGTCTTTTCCTTTTCCTTCCCCTTAGACCGGTTGTCTTGGGGCTCGTCTTCATCAAGGATTTCCACGGTCTCTGGATTGACCGGGAAGGTTTTGGCAGTGTTGGCTTGGGAGCCCCCGGTCTCTCCCGCTGGTTGGTCGTCGGGGATGGCGAACTCCTCGAACTCCATATCTGCAAAAGAAGCTAAAACCGTTAAGTACAAGAAACGACACCGGTCAAAGCGCCAATCACAAGGAAAACAATATACATACATACATACATACATATATATATATATATATATATATATATATAT